ATGATATGAGTTGAGCTGATGCTTCCATTGAATTTCACATGGCCTTGCTTTCCCAAAAGTTGTTCTCATCTTGGCTGGAGTGGACTGCAGTTTCGACCTCGCAGTCCACTTCTGTCTGGATGAGAACAACTTTTGGGAAAGCAAGGCCATGTGAAATTCAATGGAAGCATCAGCTCAACTCATATCATTGTGGGAAAATTCTTCTACCAGTCCTTCATCACCTTAAACGAAATTGAATAAATACATCTCATATTACTGATTTACTGGTAGTCACGGAAACAATACTTAATTCGAAAAATACTATAATAAACATTACGACCCATGTGGACAAATAAATACACAACAAATAAACTCGCTCTTAAAATATGTAAAAGCGATGATCCACTTATCAACGGTCTATGATAATCAACAACTCGATGAACTCCAAATATTTTCTTTACTTTTTACATATTCAACAGAACAAATAACACTACTAACCAATTGCATTACCATAGCCACACCAGCCATAGAACCATTGCACCAAAACAAATTTAAATTAACACAAGTAGGAATATCAAAACGTGGTGTATACAGTGAATAAGACATAAAGCGATTTATCGCCATATTCAAATAACATAACTAAGTTTTATCACCCGAACAATGTTATCCTAGAGAATAAACGAAACCCGGTTACTTTTCCTATCTATGCTCCATATGCACCATAGTTAATATATTATATCAAAATATGCGTGTTTAGTATTATTTATTTTTGTTAATTATTTCAAGTATATATATTCAATATGCTACTATTGTAAGAAATTCTCAAAGCGACTTAGGTACTGATGGTCGAGAGAGCAACTGACGCCAGCTTGCTACAGATGCGGCCTGAGCGAGGACGGAAGTGAAGTCCAGCCTGGATGAGATAGCCATTTTGTGTGGCCAAATGGAGTAAGGCGATTGTGAAGAAAACTGAATTACCAGTCGTTAATTCACCTTAAGCCACCTAGGCTGACTGAGTTTTTATCCAAGCATTTAAATAGTCTCTTAAACTACTTATATATGAAATAAGTAGCCTCAACGATTTCAATAGCAGAAGCGTATTTTCTTAATCTTCAATCCTACCATCGCCAACAGTCCAGCCTGAATGAGACAGTATTTTCGAAGGAGAGGCGAAGTGAAATTCACTGAAAATCCACTGCTCATCCAAATTTAAGCGATCTAGACGGACTAA